CCCTAAACCCTAAACCCTAAACCTTAGACCTTAGACCCTAAACCCTAAACCCTAAACCCTAAACCCTAAACCCTAAACACTAAACCCTAGACCCTAAACCCTCAACCCTAAACCTTAAACCCTGAACCCTGAACCCTAAACCCTAAGCCGTCCATCTTCTCTTTGAGTGCGTGAGGAGGAGCACGTCGCACCCCGTGTGAACGCCTTTCGCAACTTCATGGCTCAGGCTGGGCTTCAGGAGCCTAGGGTTTAGGGTTTAGGGTTTAGGGTTTAAGGTTTAGGGTTTAGGGTTTAGGGGTTCAGGGTTTAGGGTTCTCTGCTTGGCCAGGTGTGTGAGCAGGTCTGCATCGAGTTTGAGCGGGAGGTGACACAGATGTCTGAGGACCGGACTTCTCCAACTAAACCCTAAACCCTAAACCCTAAACCCTAAACCCTAAACCCTAAACCCTAAACCCCTAAACCCCTGAACCCCTGAACCCCTAAACCCCTAAGCCCCTAAACCCTTAAACCCCCTAAACCCTAAACCCCTGAACCCCTAAACCCCTAAACTCCCCAAACCCCTAAACCCTAAGCCCCTAAACCCCTAGACCCCTAAACCCCTAAACCCCTAAACCCCTAAACCCCTAAACCCTAAACCCTAAACCCCCCCCCCCCCCCCTAAATCCCCTACACCCCTATTCCCCTACACCCCTAAACCCCTAAACCCCTAAACCCCTAAACCCCTAAACCCCTAAACCCCTAAACCCCTAAACCCCTAAACCCCTAAACCCCTAAACCCCTAAACCCGAAGCTCGGCAGGATATCTTGATGTACCGGGGTGAGTTGGCCCGCTGCGCCGACCTCCTGGCCTTTCAGTTGGGAAAGGCTCGGCTTGGAGTTTAGGGTTTAGGGTTTAGGGTTTAGGGTTTAGGGTTTAGGGTTTAGGGTTTAGGGGTTCAGGGGTTCAGGGGTTCAGGGGTTTAGCGTTTAGGGTTTAGCGTTTAGGGTTTAGGGTTTAGGGTTTAGGGCTCTAAGGGATTTAGTCGAGAGGGTCCAGGGTTTAGAGTTAGGCAACCCTGAGACGTCGGCAGCTCTTGAGATGCCCACCCATGCAGGAGAAGCAGTACCACAACATGCTGGAGAATATAGCGGACAATACGACGACGTTAATAGGGCACCTCGGCATTCTCTCAAGTTGCTTCAGGAGACTTTTTGGGGTAATGTGAATAGGTTTCGGGTCTCGGTCTACTAGACTCTAGGGCTTTAGAGGTTTGAGCGCTTGGGACGACCCTAAACCCTAAACCCTAAACCCTAAACCCTAAACCCTAAACCCTAAACCCCAAACCCTAAACCCTAAACCCTAAACCCTAAAGCCCTGAAATTAGGCGTCACGGCCCGTCGTCCACTGTTTTTACGCACTGTCCACCGAGGAAATCAGCGGAGCTGGGTCAAAAACATGATGCACACGCGCCTGAGCTGATTTTTCGGAGGTTGGAGCTGGGCAGTTGCGTTCGGCTTTAGGGTTTAGGGTTTAGGGTTTAGGGTTTCACCCACCAAGGAGCCCCTCCGCGAACAGATGAACCAGATCATGGACATCATCATGAACACGCACAAGGCAACATGCGGCCATTCAGTGTTGGGAGCTTTCTGGTTTGTGACTCTGTCTGATTGAAACTAAACCCTAAACCCTAAACCCCTTTTCCCTAAACCCTAAACCCTAAACCCTAAATTCTAAACCCTAAACCCTATACAACCTAAGCCCTAAACCCCGAGATGAGGGACTTCAACTTTGGCTTAAGCCCATGACAGCTCGCCAGGACGTGCATGCTGGACACGGAGTCGCCCACAACGATCACCGTCAGCTCGTTGAGAGCCACCCGGAGCATTGCTAGCCACAAAGCTTCTTAGTAGAGAATGAGGGAAATAGGTACCCCAAAGAGTCCCTTGAAGGGCATATATAGGGGGATCTTCCATACTAAGAACCAGTAGGAAACTCCTACAGCTACCTGCTGATTCCGATGAGAGAGCTGCGCGACAAGCGAGAGTCCCACCCGACTGAACGCCGCGTGGTGTCGCTTCACCTACTAATTGCTTAAGAACCCCAAAAAAATGAAAATAGTGTTCTTTATTAAGGGTAATATAGGGATTATGATTTTTCATTCTTTTGGGGTTCTTAAGCAAATAGAAGTCACGTGAATCATAGCAGGGTCGGGAGAGGCAACAGCAATGGCACCTGTCAACGGTAGTCACCTTAATAATAACCGAATGGCAAAGCGTATTGGCATTATATATAATATAATATAATATATATAGTATATATATATATACATATAATTATATTTGTATGTATTCATGGAAGTGCATAAAGGCGAATATGGGTTTAAGAACGCCCGTATATATACATATCTTTATAAGTACTTACAAACATCAAGCAACTATACACAGACATCTGAAAACATATATATATATATATATATGTGTGTGTGTGTGTGTGTACATGCATATATATATATACATGTATATATACGTATATATGCATAGAAAAGTGCATTGATATGTCCAAGGCCACTTGCTGACATCAGCCCAGCTGCAGAATCAAGCGGAGGCTGTGCAGGCCAGGGGGGAGGGTTTCACATTGCTCCGCAAAGGGGAGTGGATGTCTTGTATCATATTTGACTCTTATCACGATTCTTACCATTGTGATTGCCACTACTACTACTGTGATGACTCTTCTGACTACTCTTGCACGTTGTTGCGCACCCTAAGCCACAAACCTTAGAAACCCCAACAGCCCGAAAAAAATCCGAAAAAAGCCCTGAAAATCGCCGAAAAAGGCCCCGGAAGCCCTACAAACCCTTTTCGCATCTTTGCCAGGCAGAGCTGGACAACATCATGAAGGTCCTCAACGTCCCGGTGGTCGCCTACACCAAGGCATGGCCCCGAGATTCTCACGTCAAGCCTTCACCCATGGTCGTTCAGGGTTTAGGGTTTAGGGTTTAGGGTTTAGGGTTCAGGGTTTAGGGTTTAGGGTTTAGGGTTTAGGGCGTCGTTCATGCGACGAAGGCACCGGCTTTGCCCTCGCCGGCGGCGCCCGTCAAGACGAGCTCACCGTACATGCCCTACTCGCCCCCGCAGGCAAACAATCCGCCCCTCGGCTGCAGACCCTGGGATCCTAATTGTAGGGTTTAGGGGGTTTATAGGTTTTAGGGATGTTTAGGGTTTAGGGTTTGGGATTTAGGGTTTAGGGGGTTTACAGGGTTTGGGGTTTAGGGTTTAGGGTTTGGGATTTAGGGTTTAGGGTGATGGGGTTTCATGGGGGTTAGTGGGACGCCTGGGCCGCACCGAGCAATCCTAAACCCTAACCCTATAAACCCTAACCCCAAACCCTAAACTCTAAACCCTAAACCCTTTTTCTCAGGCAATCTCCTGGCATGTCCCTCGGGAGCCCGGCTGGGAAGAAGCCGCTGGGAGCCTCGCCCACGCGCACGAGCCCGCAAGGCCCGACTGCTTGCGCTTCGGCACCCCGAGACAGCCCTCAACCCTAAACCCTCAACCCTGAACCCTCAACCCTAAACCCTAAACCCTAACCCTAAACCCTAAACCCCTAGCCCTAAACACTAAACCCCAGAACCCCAAGCCCCTAAACCCGACAACACGACTCCGAAATTCGGAACCCAAGAGCCCCCAAAAAACCAAACAGTTAGGGTTTAGGGTTTAGGGTTTAGGGTTTAGGGTTTAAGGTTTAGGGTTTAGGGTTTATGGATGGCAAAGACCCCATATTGCCAAATTCAAAAGAAAACCTCGGACCCCAACCCCCCAGAACCTTCCCTTCCCCCCCCCCCCCCCCCCCCCCCCCCCGCCCCAAAGGAAAAAGCCCTTGACTGCTACGAGACCTCCCTAAACCTTAAGCCCTAGACCCGAAACCTTAGATCCTAAACCTAGGCTGAAAACCCTTAACCGAAATCCTAACCCAAAACCCAAAACCCAAAACCCAAAACCCAAAACCCTAAACCCTAAACCCTAAACCCTAAACCCTAAACCCTAAACCCTAACCCTAAACCCTAAACCCTAAACCCTAAACCCTAAACCTTAAACAAGTGCAGGCGCAGCTCCGATGCAGACCATGGGTTATGGGGCGAAGGTCGGAACGATGGCTCCAGGAATGGCGAACCGGCAGTTAGCCTGATGCTCTCAGTTCCGCAACCTGGGTGTAGGGTTTAGGGTTTAGGGTTTAGGGTGTAGGGTTTAGGGTTTAGGCTTAAAGTTTAGGGTTCTAGGGTTTAGGGCTTAGGGTCCCAAGATGTAGGGGAAGCTGTGATTTTAGGAAGCACCCCGGCCGCTAGCTAAATCGGATGCTTAGCCGCAGGACTGGGGGTTTGGGGGTTTGGGGTACAGACCTGCCCGATCCCAACCGTCATGACACATTGGATAACCTAAACCCTAAACCCTAAACCCTAAACCCTAAACCCTAAACCCTAAACCCTAAACCCTAAACCCTTTACTGACTCAGATGCCGAAAATGCGAAATTTGCCTTCTGCTGCCGGGCGTCCACACAGTGGCGCTGGGGTGGCACTGCCAGGCAGAGCTTTTTGTGCATCGATGTTTCCGATGCACCGTGCGCTCAAACCCGCAGGTTTGCACAGAGAACTCTGAACCCTAAACCCTAAACCCTAAACCCTAAAGCCTAAACCCTAAACCCTAAACCCTTCGTTTTAGCATCTTCCCGCGAGGCTGGAAACCTGCTTAAGCTTGCAGCGCACTTGTCTGGGGCGAAACATTGGCCCTCATGGATGTAGTTTCACACGGTAAATCCTTCAAAGCCTGGCAAGTTGCAGACGCTTCTGCCTGCGCTGGAACGATGTCATGTTGCTGCAGCGACGCAGCCGTACCACTGTATATGGACGTGCTGTCATGAGCTCAAAGCCAGGCCATGCGAAAGCAAACATGGTGAAGCATCTACATGGAAATCCCCGACATGCTGCACCCCGTCAAGCTTGTGAAACTCACTCGGGTTTAGGGT